GAATGAAATATTGGATCAGCATGAATTTAGGGCAAACTTTTATCTATACACTATGATATACTAATTTATGGGAGCACCAGCAATAAGCTTTAGCTGGCGGTTTATGATGATGCGTAAAACTTATGGCTTCTAAAGCTTGATAAACATGTGTTATGAAATACGGTACTACTAGCGCATTGCGTCTGTTTCGCCCTAATCAAGCTTCTTGTTTCATGCCAATAATGCAGTGCTATAGCACATAACCTAATAAAGATCTACAGTGGTGGATCGGTCTTATTGGACACAGACTTTAGTTACTCAATAAATGAATCAGCGTCATTTGTGCATGAATGTCAGTTCGTCAACTCTCGGCCGTCACTTGGTCAGTCGCTGTCCGGCACGCATGAATTGCTGGGGATCTAACAGCAGCTTGAGTTTGATTAGGGTCGACCTTTGATTGCTTCTGACGAGGATCATTGTTCGACAGGCGAATCGACTCGATGGCTGTTCATAATGACATTGCTCATTTGTTTGCAATATGTATACAGTACTGCGAGTACTAATAAAACTCATTGATTGAGACGTTAGTTTCCGACTAAACCATGCACTCTTTATTTATGAGCAATTGATCAACATCTGCCAGCTTCGTCAACACTACTTCTCCAGCCGCAAACTCGTGGCTGTTAACACTCATGAACACTGCGAATGCAGATCTGCAGATTCAGCCTGGATGTGCAGCCGAGTGGACTTAGTAATGATAGACTCCGAGTACGACAACAACACAGAAGTACTGATCGCCAATGAGGAAATCACTTGCACAGTTGTCTGTGTCCAGGTCCATGTTGCCAGCAGCTGCAAACCTGAAGCACAGAACTAGATGCAGTGAAAAACGGCTAAAAAATGAAACGAAGATAAAAGAGAACCTTATGGCTCAAAACAAAATGAGAGTGTTTTCTAACGCAGGGGATATAGCACTTCGTCAGTTACCACCAGTTCTAACAAGCCGTGGAGTATCGGCTCAGTTTGATATTTACTTCGTTCGTTTGTAGATTTTGCATATGTTAATTTTCCTCTGTCGTCACAGCCTACAACCAACTGCAACTATCAACTAATGCACATATAAGTGACAGCTGTGGGTACGTTCGCAAGTGGAACAAATGACCAAACCCCTCAAAAAAACATGTGAGAGCTG